TTTGCCAATTCTCATCTTTCATTCATATCTTCTTGAATAATTTCTTTAATATTTCTAACTATGTTATTATTAATATTGGAACTTTCATTAATTTGATTTACTAATCCAATCATAATAAGATACATAACACTAGGAGTTGTGTATTTAGTATCACTTATTAAACAAGTTACTTGTTCAAAAGATTCAAGAAATAGAACAAGTTTTTCAATTATTTGTCATTCAAAATTTGTTGGAATTAATGATTCTAAAATAATACTTTCTCTTTGAATATTAGTTTTTTTATCAGAAAATAATGTAGTTTTTAAAGTAATAATAGCTTGTTTTAAAAATAAATGTCTTTCAAAAGTATAAAAAGTAGAATTTTATTTTGTATTATTTACTTTAATAATATCTAATATTGGTTCTTTTTCTTCATTATTATTATTATTATTATTTTCATTTTTATTTTTTAATAAAATAGATATTTCTTAAGATGTTTGTTGTTGAAGATATAATTGTGCTTTTCTGAGTTGTTGTCTTTTTTTATTATCACCTAAAAATTTAATAAGATTTTTACATTTTCTTATTAATTCACTTATTTCTTCTAATCCTTTATTAATACTTAATTATAAAGTATGAGCTGCACAAAATATTTGAATTCTAATTCCAAGATCTTTGATTGCTTTTTTTATATTTGCTCTATTATCAGTTATAAAAAAAATAATTTTTAATTCTAAATTCCATATTTGAAGTAAATTTTTAATATATTCTAAAATTTGAAAAGCTTCATGTGGATAAGGTAATTCTGCAATACTTAAAAGAATATTTTTAGATTCAAAATCTTGAGAAATCCAATAACAAGTAACAGCTAAATAAGGAATATGTACTTTTGAACTTCAAAGATCTAAAGTAAATAAAACATATTTAACACTATTATTAATTAATTCTTTTATTTGATTAAACATATAATGATAAATAAAATCTATCATATTTCTTAAAGTTTTTTTAGATAGAATCTTATATCTTGGATCTAATTAATTACAAAAATTAATAAAATCTGAAGCTTCAACTAATTGTAAAGGTTGAACAGTTCCTACAATAAATTTAACTAAATATTAATTAAGTTCTTTTTGTTTTTTTATATCATGAAATGTTTTTGAAACATTACTTAAAATGTTAGGTAATAATTATTGAGAAATAGAAGAATCTTGATTTTTTTCAACTATAGCTTTTGTAATATGATGAAATGCAGCAAGATGTGTTTTCATAGCAGTAGTACTTTGATGATATGCAAAATCTTGTCCACAACCTATTAATTGACATGTAGTAATATTAGGTAAAGTTTCTTTAAAATAATTCCAAACATAACTTTTTTTAATCTAGTTTTTCTTATTAATTTTTTTTTCTTCTTTTAGTAGAAATAAATGAATTATTTTCTTCTAAATTAAGATCATTAGATGAATAAATTAAAGTAGAATTATTATTAGAAGATTGTAATTCTATATTAGATTCATTAGATTCATTTTTTAATAAATCATCAAGTTCATTATCTGTACTAATATAATCATTGGATGCAAATCATTAACTCTTTCCAACGATCACTTGTACCAAATTTTTGCTGCAAACATTTGATTCTTACTCAATATTTTATTAAATAAACTGCTTTTGGATGTCTAAGTAAAGGTGTTTCTAACACAATTTTACACTTAGGCAGCCAAGTTTTATATCTCTAAGTTCTTTTTCAACAGAGATATATTCAACAAACTAAAAAACACTTCTATTCAAGTATCTAAATATTTTACTAGGTTAACTGCTCTGGTAACTTAGGACAAACTGAAAGAGCTTATCATCAGCTTCATTTTGATATATAAATTATCGAAAATGGCCTAAAACTGACTAATTTATTAAAAAATTCCTTTAAACTCTCTTGCAAAACTTTGAATTTTATTTTTACAAATTTTATTTTTTATTTTTTGGGGGCTGCCTCTGGTCTGCTCCATCCAAACCTCCCCAAACAGGATTATAAATTAATATTACATTATATGAGCTAATCTGTATTGTTTACAAATTTGTATTCTTTTAATTTTATATAACTTTTTGTTCAACGACAATCTTGACTTACAGATCTGTAAGTATTACATACTCTGTGTAATACTTATTTGGCATACTCTGTGTTTGTCACATTACCTTATCTGTCACACCCTGTTATCTGTCATACCCTATTATTTGTCACACCTCTTATTTGTCACACCCTATATCTTTCAGACTGCTTTATATTTAAGATTCTCATAATCTACTTTATTTTCATTTTTTAAGCCAAAATGCCAACTCTTATTAATAAAGACCCAGATTCTTATGATATCGACTATTATCATGGCAAATA